CCGGCCTCCGCCTGTTGGGTTGCTGCTGGCCTCAAAGATACAACGCTTCGAGGCTCAGGGTTTCAGGGTCTAACAGTTGCTTATTTGGGCTTTTCCCAACTCACTGTCTAGCGATGAGTTGCAGTCCAACATCTAACGGCAATTTACACTCCAGGCCCGTTTCGTCTAGTGGCGATCTGGCGTGAAGAAACCTCGCCAAATAGTGATTTCAGGGCAGGTCCAGTACCTTGTCCTTATGGGATAATGCGATGACTAGCAATGTCGCAGCAAGACCACGGATAAGTTGGCTGCAAGTTTAGGCTACACCGGACATAATTGAGATTTAGGAGGCTCATGGTGTGGTAGACGGCCGCACCCGCTACACTACTCGTAGGATTCCTGAGCTTAGATAGGGGCTGAAAGGGATCTCCGCCTTGGCCGAGATTTCGCCAGTATCGCAAAGTCGATGTCAACACAGTCGCTGGCGTCTTGCATCATGCCTCCATTCGGAGGTAGGGTTTAGGGACTTGGGGTTCCACAAAGCGGTTTCCATAGCTTTCCATGAGCGGTCTGCCTAAGGGTTCTTTATAGCATGAGTCCTTTCAGGGTTCTTGGGTTTGGGGGGGAGTAGTGTTTAGGGTATCGGGTAACCATCGCCACTAACACAAGGCCAGCAAAAAGGTCGCAAGACCTGCTAAAGCAGAGCAAACCTCCACGTGGGACGCATGTCTGAGGGCATGGCCGTGGCTCTTGGTGTTGGACGGTATGCAGGGCGTTGCCTTGTGAGGGAGCAGCTTTCCCAAGTTTTCAGGCAGAGATGCGAGACCCAGTGAAAAGACTCAGCCAAGATCTGGGCGAAACTTGGTAAATGCTGCGCTTTCGAGGCCCCATTGACATTGCCCACAGTGTTGTTCTTTCCAGCCTCTCGTCAGCTCTGCTTAGAACCCTTTGTGGAACCCTTTCCTTACATCAATGCACCCGAATGCCTGGCCAGTCGGCTTGGGAGCAGACATCGTTGGAAGTGAGCCTTTGAAGCTTCGCTGCTTTGAACAGATCTCCTCAAAACACACATCCAGCCTTGTAGTCGCTCGTGTTGCGCTGAGCTAGCCTTCAGTTCGGTTTCGCATAAGGATTAACCAAAGGGGTATACAGTTTAACTGACAAGAAGTGCATGCGAGACTTGCCTGGCGGGCCGCGCAGAGTTGCCGCATATTTGCACCTTGCGCCATGGCCCATCATGTCAGCTTCGCAAGCTCGGCAAAGTCATCGATACGAGCCTTTGCACCACAGTGGCCTGTGCGCAGGGGCTTGAGATTAGTGTCACAGCTTGCCCGGCACGTGTCCTGCCTGCTTTCCATTCCCCCCATCTCAACTACTGGTGTGGGCAACCCGGTACCCGGCCTGCTTAGAAAGCCCGCCGCTGCGAAGGCGGTCAAGCCCAGTCCAATCACTGCCGCACCCTCGCAGCTGCATCAGATCAGGCGAAACGATGACGAAAAGGTACCGAGATTGCACGCACTTGCATCTCACCTGCAGGTTGTACCGGGATGCCTGCTTCCCTGCCACCTGCAAGTCTCAGGAGGCTCGCTGTTCATGAAACATCTGACAGAGCATACCGCCAGGAAAGCATTGGAGCGATGCCACATGACCGGTGGTCATGATATATATATATATGTATATGTATATGTATATGTATATGTATATGTATATGTATATGTATATGTATATGTGTATGTATAGGTATATGAAAATGTATATGTATATGGAAATGTATAGCATATATATATACTATATACACACATATATACACGTACATCTCAATATCTTTGCTGAAAGGATCAGCTACCATACATTCTGTATTACATACTATATGTGTGTATGCGTATGTGTGTTTTTTCACATACATATATATATATATGTATATGTATATGTGTGTATATATATATATATGTATATATATATATGCACATTCTAGGCTATATCAAATATATTATGTGGTAGGTAGTATATATGGTATACCCGTGATTTGTGGAAATATGTTGTATATCACGGAATATAATACAATGTAATGCAATACAACCAAGTATGATATGAAAAGATAAAAAATGCAAACAACATAGTCAGTATAATGCAATATGACATAATTTAGCAGCATATACCAAAATATAATCTAGTATAATGTAGTATAACATAGTATAATACAATACAATACAATACAATACAATAAAATCTAAAACCGTATGATATAACTTAGTAATATATAATATAGTGTGTTATGATGGGATATGATGATACGATATGATATGATATTAAAACTGAGGTTATACTTTACTCTATCATGTTGAACTATATTGCACTGTATCAGCTTTGTATTGTAACATATTATACTCTATCAAAGTTTCTTCTATAACATTATGTTATAATGTGATGCGTATATATACAGATTAAAGTTTAAAGCAAAAGATGCTAAACATGCATTACAAAATCTGACATATGTCATATAAAACATAGAGTTATGTGCATGCGTGTGTGTGTGTGTGTGTGCTTATTTATTTCCATAAAGTCAAGAACATGCAACAGATGTCGAATACGACATATAACATGCTGAATACATATATTACGCAACACACTGTACAGTCGACAATATGGGGCACACGATTTATTTCGTACATAGCAAAAAAAGATGGATAATCGAAAATACACCATATGTGGCATGCGACATATAATGTATGACATAATTCTGTCTAGTGCATAATTTGCAATGTAACGGTGTATATGTATATGTTTTGCTTACGTATACGAACCTGTATCTTATATACTACATATAAAACACAAAATAACTCCCATGTATTCCACATTCTATCATATATAATTTGTAACACATAACTTCAGCCTATAGTCATATGTGATACATAGTATATTATATAACAGATGCGGTATCAGATGATACATAGCTGAACAAGTTTCGAATGATAAATATTTTGTGCAATACATGTCATACAATATGAACTAGTATTTCGTTTTATGTATTGCAAAACAAGCAAATACGGAATAGGCTTTGGAAATACCACCATAGCAGAGTATGCATAACATCTAATACACACTACATACTACAGACGCTATGTAAACAAATATATAACATAGCAGAGATACATGGTGTATAACGTAAAATTTTCATATACAGCATGTACATAGTATCGACAATAGTACTAAATAAGATTAAATAAGTTTTTCATAAGAGACAAGATAGAAACATAGTAGCGGCGAAGCCTGCGTCAGCACTGAATCCGGAACCGGAGCGATCTCGGCCGCATTGAGGTCCTTGTCGGCGGGCTCGCACCTTGACTGCTGCCGCAGCGGCAGTCCACTTAACACGAAGCCTCGTTGCCTAGCGGAACCCAGCAGTCGTGCCTCAAACCGGCTTGAAAAGCAGATTTTCTGTCTACTCCCAAGGGGCTAATGCGGCTAATAGGAAGGCAACCCTATGAGCCCAGGAAGCGAAGAGCACTGTCAAGCATAATGAAGACATGAAATATTGCAGCTGAAGACTAGTAGCTTACGACCGACTCCTGGTGCCAGGTACAACAGACTCCGGCCCCTGGAAGATGCGAGTTACCCTGTATATCGGAGTTTCGGAGAACGGAAGGCATGAAAGCCATCAGATATAGGTCCGAGTTGCGATGTTGTGGCTGGTGGGACATCGCAAGCGAAAGCTCCCAAGCTTGGGCTCAAAGCTGACTCCAGAGAGCTTTCCAGAGCCGGCAGCGAAGGAGTTGCAGCTTCCCCCCAATCCTGTCAGCAAAGTATGTCCTATTGATACAAAGCGCTATATATGTATGTGTGTATATAACATATACATATATATTTTTTATTTATATACCTTTGTATTTTTATATTAGATGATTATACTGCAATTAAACTGTATCTATTTTTATGACATCTATCACAGAGCCGCTAGGGTTGCCTACGAACTGGGCGTGCTGCTGTATTGTGGTAAGTCTTCCCGCCTGAAGGACCATTGGACTTCCATCTTTGGTGTCCTTGAGACTTACCGGCAAAGGCTCCGAGGAGGTGATGGGCTCGCCTGAAGAGGGCAGCAAGGCGCAGGACCGGACCATGAAGATAATAAGGAGCTTCATAGCATCAAGTTACTGTTTGCAAATACTGTGATGAGAAGAGTCGTAGGAAGAATGAAGCATGTGCCCGGCCTTCAAGCTTTTGAGTCTGCTGACCCTCAGCAGAAACAAGTGCTTGAGGAGGAGGACCTGCAGACACATCGTGGCCGGTCATGGGATATAGGGAGCTTGCTTCCCACGCGACTCTCATGGCCTTCGGGTGCTCGGGCAGCCAAGAAACGCCCTCCGGAACAAGACGTCGACGCATTGCTCGATTGGGGGAGGGCATCAGAGGGTGCCTGCAGCAAGACCAAGTCCGAGAAGTGCAGCTCCCGCAACGACATAGCCTGGAGCGAGCTCACAAAAAGAAGGCCTCTGAACTTCCGGTCTCTGGTCGGGCCGGTGCGCCTATCCTGCTCGGCACGGGCTGCTCGGGCAGATCCTGGCGGTTGGAAGACTTCTGCGTCTCTTCGCCACGAAGAAACCCGCCTGGAAGGTCTGCGTCGCGGCGCTTGCCAGTGATACTGGGTCTGGAAGCGATGGAAGGGTTTGCCTCGGGTGACGGAATGTGGAAGTTGCGAGGCGTTGCCATGTCCGTCAGGTCGCGTTGATGCTTCTTCTGTATTGCCGATAAAGAACCTCAGGTGTTCATCTCAGCTCAGATTCTGTGTCACCAGCTCTTTTCACATTCCGTGCCTAGAGCAGCCTCACCACAGCTGCTGGTGGCAACCAAGCTGCCAGTCGGCTTGATCGCACTCGGTTAAGGAACCCTCCATGGTACCCACTGCAGCCGTGGCTTGGTGCTAGAGCAAAACAGCTGTGGCATGCATACGTGAGTGGAGTGCGCGAAGCACAAGCTAAGGCCAGCCAAAATAGCCAAAAGGCCCCAGGGGCGGTGGGGCTGACCGTGCCATAGAAAGCGATGTCAAAGAGGAACCAGCAGCCTGCCGTTCCTGCAATCTAGTGTGCCTCTCCATGGTGTATGCTACAGTGTCAGGCTGGTCGTGCCTTTCAGGAGCTGCCAATTGCGCGCATCTCCCAGGTTGCCTCCTGAAGCCAAAACTGTCATCAAACCAGTCACACTACATCTTCCGGGTGCCGAAGCTAGGCGCTGCACGGCCTGATGCCCGAGCCTCAAGTACGTTAAGGCTTGCTTCTGGCTCTGCAATGCTACGCAATGCTCTGCACAGTCTGAAAGTTGAGATGGCTACTCCAGAGTCAAGGTCCTGCTGTTGAGGCACCGTCAAACTGCCCAGAGAAAACCCTTGCAGGCAATCCGAAAATGACCTCCTCGTAGGCAGAACACAGCAACACCTTGATACGAGAAACCGACAGTTGATGAAGGACTCTAAACTATGGGAATTATGGTAGGTATATTCCTTAATTATGGGTAATGCAGGATTTATACCATCACCCGTAGCTCAGCTTCGAAGCAGCTCTGGGCACCCGGGGTCGGTGCCACGGCTGCAGGCAAAGCCCCGATGCCAAGCAGAATCCGGAACTGCACAGAGGTGATGCCCTGCGTGCGCGTGGTGGCAACCTTATTATGGCAACCTTCTTGTAGCAACCTAAGTGTTACACTAAGTACCCCTACAGTAACTGTAGTGCCTGGCTGGGAGGCAAGCTAAGCAAGGGCAGCGCCAGCCTTGAAAACGGGAGGAGTCAAAAACCAGTGCTTGTTCAGGCCAAGCTCGGGAGTCGACAGATATGGAGCCAGCTGTCCGGGCCCTTGCCTCAAAATTCAGGGTTTCGGTTTGGGTGGCTTAGTGCTTACGCTTCTCGAGTTCAGGGTGTTGGGCTTCGTGGTTTGGGTCATTTTAAAGGCGGCCCAGGCACCAAAAGAAGGCCTTCGCCGCACTGTTGGCCGCGTCGACGGCGCTCACCTTGCACCCAACTGAATCTTGCAGCGAAACGACAGAGAGAAAGATGCCTCCCTGGCGCCTTTTCCTGGCTGGCCTGCCTGGCCGAGCGCTAGCTGTACTACGGCTGATGGTATAAATCCTGCAATACCCATAATGAGGCATATACCATAATTCCATATAATTCCCGTAGTTTAGGGCCCTTAAGCTCATGCAGGATTTATATATCATCAAGAGTAGTCAAAGAGACAGCTCTGATTCCTGGGCCTTGGCAGCGCTGAGCGGGTAGTTACCACCAACCTTCCATCTCCGGCCGAAGACACATCCCCTCTCTCTCTCTCTCTCTCTATATATATATATGTATATATATATATATATTTATTATTATTACTTTATTTATATATATATAACATATATCTATGTGTGCATATATATATACATATATATATATATACAGCAGTCTTGTCCGGGGTTAGGACGCCGATGCCCATTATGAGGCGGCTCACTGCAATCATCGTCCTCGCGAAATTCCGAAACTTTGGATCTCACGAATCTCAGACTCGTACAGCAATCAGGCTCCAGATGGTCTCCGGTGTACCTGCAGCATTCCGCAAATTTCGAGGGGCAAGCGATGCACAGCACATGCCGGCCAGACCCCAGGAGAACAGAGAGGATGCCAATGCCCCGAAAGCCGCCAGTGCGTTGGTGACAATCTGAAAGAATGCAGCAAGACAGCAAAGAACCTTTGCCTATAGTGGACCTGTTGCGCTGCGGAATTCCCTCTGCGTTTCAGCCGCGGGCCAGCGCAGGCCGGACACCCAACACATCGCCCAAATACCTGCAAACTGCCATCTGAATCCGTTGGACGTTCACCCAACTGACTGAAGCACCCCATCGTCAGCATGCCAGCCACGGAGCCGATGAACACTGCGCCTAGGGGGCGTGCAGAGCTTGAAGCCACAAGACTAAGAGCAGAACCCTCGTGCAAGTGCCCCGCCAAGCAGGCCATGTGCAACCTGAGTCGAGCTTCTCTATTTCTGCTGCTCTGCTGCAGCCTGGTAGTCTCGTGTGTGTGTGTGTATATATATACATATATATATATAAGTCATGCAGCAAGTAAGTTCGTCAGAAAGTTAGTAAGTCAGCAAGTCGGCAAGTCTGTAACTAAGTGAGCAGACAAGAAAGTAAGTAAGCAAGTACCTCTGTCCAATTGAGGCTGCAGAGAGATGTCGATGCTAACTACTTGGCGAACAGGGCGCATGAGTAGTGCACTGCGGGGATTTGAAGTGTAGAGTTAGATAGTTAGTTTTGGGCTCAATGCAGAAGCCTGACTACTTACTAGCTAGATTCAGTTAGTCTAGGCTACTCACACTGACTAGTTATGACCAGTTGCTGTAGTATTTGTTCAATCTCGGATCTTTTCATGTCTGCCCCGTGGTGAAATGACGGACAGTCGGGGCTTCATCGAGCCCTTTTTGAGTTGAAACCTGATCTCAGGCATCAGAAGCAGCGCAACTTGCAAAGGGCTAGAGACAGAAGAATCCAGGAAGCAAAGTTCAAAGCCAATGCCTGTACCGGCGCAGTCTCCGACATCAGCTTGCGAACATTGGCGCTTACTGGCTTGTAGGGCCACAAGTAGGTCGCACGAGCTAGTTCGGTGCGCCGAAGAATGCGTGCCGCGTACGTGTGCACACAGGGAAGCGCCCGGCTTGAAAACCAATCTTCGTAACCCAGCTCCAGTAAGCGCAAAAGGGACGTAAACCAAACGAGGTCCGCCATGGTGAACATGTTTCCACAAATATACGGACCGCCCGACTGTTTCAGATCGCTTTCTAACTGTGCCAGGAAACCTTTCACTGTGACGTGCATTTCATGAAGGGCCTCCTGTGTACAGTTCACGCCAACTTTCAGCTGAGCCATGCTGGTCTTCTTGCGCTTTGCTTCGTAAAGAGGGCGAAGGTGAACAGGCAGGGATGGATCCGCGAGGTATTTGTCGATGGTCTCCAGCTGTCCTTTTTGGGCACCTTTTGTGAGCTCCGCGAACTTTTTGACGACAGGATCCGGGGGAGTCTCTGCGAGATGCAGGCCATAAAACATGCCCATGTGGGGTGTCTCGTCGACCAGCGAAAGATGCTTGGCAATGACCTCGTCATACTCCTTAGGCATCAATCTTGGCTCCGGAAGTTCACGCTCGAGATATTCACAAATCACCTTCGAGTCCACCACAACTTTCTTCTTCTGTCGGTCAAGCAAAGTCGGCACGGCTAAGGGGTCAAATCCTTGGCTCGAAGCAGCTGTGGCCCCGCTGAAAACCTCGCCAACGAGATGCCCCCCCGGATTTCCCAAAGAGCGCAGCTGGACATAGGCAGGATGGTAGTTGTTGTGAAGTGGTGCCGTCAACTGCCACGATGTCCAAGGAACACGTTTCTCGGCAAGCACACACCGCACCTTCCAAGAGCAGATTGACCACTCGAAGTGGAACAGGTCGAAACGGGGCTGGCCCAGGCTATCATTGCCATTGATAATGCAGCTCTTGACGCCCAGCGAAGCCAAGCCGCAAACGGCCTCGTCGAAAGCAGACGCCATGGCAAAGGTCGCCGAGCTGCAGAACCTGGTATTAGGTCAATAAAAGCCAAAACGTCTGTACAAACATGCGGCTCAAAAAAACAGCACCACGTCACCTACGATGAAACTGTATACCTCGCGTCATACCTGGAGAGGCTGCAAGCCTTAGCGTCATCATCTGGAACTAAAAAGGGTTTCGAGGCCACCGCCCAGGACGGCTGCGGAAAGTCTGGGCGGACCTCGGCCGCTTGCAACACTGCGAGGAAGGGCATGGCACCAAGGAACTTCGTGTTTGAGTGCGAGACTCCATCTCCGATGATGTCGTTGTGTGACAGCATGATGGCCGCAGCGATACTGCGAGCTTGGCTCACTCTGCTGCTTCAGAGAATATGAGTAATGGCACACTGCCAACCAGCATTCCTTCTGCATGAGGCATGCTGCGGGCAATCAGTCTTGCCTGGTTGTACCACTCAGATATCAGTTGACTTGATACTCCAACGAGCAGAATTCCACCCGGACTCTTCCGAAGTTATCCCACCTTGAAATTCGCTGCAATTTTGTCTCGGCCTTGCAGACGAGTAGTTGTACTGGATGGAGAAATTGCTGCAGGCCGGCCTCGCTTTTGGCAAAGGCTGCAAGGAACCTGCACTGTGCTTGCGAGGGCCAGGCACGAACCTTGGGCATTGTCGGCACGTGCTTCGGGCGTCCTGTGGCTTCCGCCATGCAAACCGCAGGAGCTCCAATGCGTCCGCGCCTCATCCCCGGTCTGTCGGCCTTCGGGCGCTTCACGGTGGCCACCGCTTAAGACTTCTTCTCCGGGGGCCGCACTCATCGAGTTCGGTGCATGTCGCAATGCCTCCTCTCTACCTGAGCCCAGTTCTGAGCTCTGCTCTGAGTCCTCTGCCTGATGTGCGCATCCCGAAATCGCATAAGCCTTGAGCTCAGCTCATCCCGTGCAGGCTCAGATCGGGGATGACCTACATTAGGTTTTGCGCTATCTCCTCAATCTCACAGCGAAACTCATTACGGTCAGGCTCCCAAGATGGATCGTGTTAATTAATGGACCAAGATCTCTGTCAAAATGATCTGCTTACAATGAGCTGCCTGATCCACACGATAAATAGAAGATCTGCAAAGCTTTGGGCATAGTAGGGCATAGTGTGCTAGCTGTCGGCACGCAATCCATATAGCCCCCCTCTACACTTCTGCCCTGACGGAAGGGGGCATCAAAAGGAGCGAAAGACGTGAGCACTTGACATCCCAGTTGGACTGAACAAGACCACGAGGCTCGGAGAAATGAAGGCAGGGTGCCGCCCCACTCTTTTGAACTGCGAGGCAGGGGTCGGAGCAGCCGTTCCTTCGCGTAGCAAAGAACATGATGCTCCAAGAAACATAATTACTTCTGGTGTGCAATTCTGCACCCGAAGAAGAGGAGGCTACGTCGCATTCGCAAAAGGACCCTCATATCGGACTGCAAACTCGACACGTAGGTGTGGGTCCATGCTTCGCTAACGAGCCAAGGGAAACGTGTGAGACCTGCTTGACACAGGAGCGAATGTTTTTAACATCTGCCCGGACCCTTCGGGTTCCAGCTGATGGCGCTAGAAAATGAACCAACTGCAAAGGCAAGCGTTCATATGTGCCGCGCGCAGTAAGATCGACGATCAGCCAGGTCCTGCCGTTGACAGCATCGCCAGGAACTTCAGTCATCCTAGCCCTAGCCGGCTTGTCAAAGCGAGCTGTCGAGCGATGCTAGTCACACAACGTGCCCATGTCTAGACCCTGAGTCTTTGAGGCAACGCTTCACTGGCGCACTGCAGTCCTTACGCCTTCAAGGACAATTTCAACTTGGCAATCTCCTCGAACAAAAATGCCGGATCATCTTCGCGTCTGGTCGGTAGTCTCGAGACACAGAGAAAGTGCATTGACCTCGTCCCGCTTCCGGATCTCGCATTCATAGCCAGTGATAAGCTCCTGCAATCGGAGGCGGCAAGCGGATCCCCCCAACCCGAAATGATACTGCAAAGGATTGTCCTCCTGGTTCATGACCAAGAGTTTGCTGTGGCTTCTCTCCTGCAGGCAGATTGCCGTTCTGCTGCAGCAGCAACAACAACATCAGCAGCAGCAACAGCAATCAACAGAAACTGCAACAGCGGCAGCACCTCCACCCGACGCCACCAGCGGCAGCAGCAGCAGCACCACTACCACCACCACCACCTCCATCACCACCACCGCTGCCACCACCAC